CCTCAGCGCCCCCGGGAGGCGGAGGGGCCCGGGGACACCGGCCCCGCACCGCCCGCCGCCGGCTCTTCCCACGCCGCCGGGCGCAGCCGGCGTTAGAGCCCGACAGAGGTGTCACTGAAGGGCGGGGAGGGGGCAAAACACAACCAAACCAAACCAAACCAAACCAAACGCCTGGGGTGGGGGCTTGAGAAGCCCGGCGCTGCCGGGTTCACCCTGAGAAGGGAGGGGAAGGGCAGCTCCGTGGAGTTCGGGGGGGACCCCTTGGGATTTGTGTCGCCCACGGTCGCCCCACCGCCCGTCACCTCTCCCTGTCCCTCGGCTCCGTGTGACGGCGGGTCCACCTGCAGCTGCCAGGGAGGCAGAGCTCAAGGCAGCGACCGACACCACAGCGTCGACAGGCTGGACTTGTTTCCTTCTAACACCAGGTCCCCCGCTCGGATTGTTCTGTCTGGGCAAAGCCTCCATAAAACTGCTGGTACCAGCATTCAGGGAGCCCTGCATCCCGTGCATGGAGCCTGGGGATTATCAGCCGAACTGGAAAGAGGTTGCCTGGCAATCGCTGCATGAGCACAGTGGTTCCTTTTCTGGAAAAGAACTAGAACTTGTTTTCATTAAATGTAATTTTTAGTAATTTGGTCCTCAAATCTAGTTTTTATAGCTGTGATGAAACCTCCATCTGTGGAGAAAGGGGGAGAATCTAGCCTTGAACTAAAAATTCCACAAGCTGGAGAATCCATTAGTTGATGACTAATCACCATTAAAGACGGGGGAACCATTTTCAGCATCATCCATCAACATGCAGATGCCTATGGCGTGCCAGGTTTTTAAGCTGGATGGGAGTCTAGTCAATACAGGCAGTGAGATCTGTCCGTCTATTCAGCCACCAATGCTCTCCAGAAAATGTGCTATGTACATACAACTTTAAAAAGAGTATTCCTTCTGTCTTCTCTCTATTAAGTGTTATCTCTCAATGTCGTCAGCTTCAACAAAAAATAAGCCAGAAACAGGGTTTAAACAGAGTTGTGTATAATCTCAGCAAGTACAGCGTCCATGGCTTTTGTTCATTCATTGGTGCACTGGTGGCCAAGATATGGTTGAACAACTTCAGTAGTGATAACCTGCTTACTGTGTGGCTGGAGGTGTCAGTACCACTGCCAGTAACCCAGGTGGAACTGAGCTCATCCAGCACTGTCCTCTGTTCTTACTGGGGTACACAAGGAGTCAGTGACCCCTCTGTCAAAGGCTAAATGGCCTCAAAAATGGCCTTCGAGTATGAAGTCCCTTTTAAGACTGTTTGGTGGTTTGACTCACCTGTTATTTTAAGAATCCTGTAAGGTAGAAACAGAGGTGGAGGACATTTTCTTCTCCTGAAACAAAGTAATGGTTTGATTTGGCTAAAGCCAAATTGATTTCACTGCTAAAGCCAAATGTCCCCTGTGAGAGTCCAGGATTGTAGAAGGGCTGTCTGAATTGTTCAAAGTATATTGGTATATTTATCCAGCATAATCTTGAGAATTTTAAGTCTTGTTGGGAATACCAAGTCGTCCTCTTGAATACTCTAAAGTCAGCAGCTCTCAGATGTATATTAAACTCTTTTCTTTATGTGGGTCACTGATAAGCACTCTCATAAGACAAGAAACAAATATTTGAAATTTCCTTTACACTGCTTACACTGCAGGAGACCAATGATGGGATGGAAACAAAACTCCAGTTCTGAACATTGGATGGTGTGAAAGAATAGAAGGTGGGTGGAGAGAGCTCCATCCTCACCATCAAAGAAGCATGAAAACAGAGGCTTATTTTACTGTGTTGAGATGTTCCAGTGCAGAAAAATAACACATGGGGTACTCGCATAGTAGGAGAGCAAAGATTAAGGACGAGTGCTTTGATTTTACTGACTTCTGTGAAAAGCATGAATAATGGGGAAAAATTAAATTTAGAGGGGAAATTGTTGCACATGCCTTTGCACATTTCCAGCAAATAAGAATTTGCTGCATTTTTAAATCTTCTTTGTTGAAATAGTAGTCAGAATGCAACAAGTTATCTCCTTGCTCAGTCAGCTTAAACAGTCATCAGTGATAAAGTAAATGGGCATTATTTCATGAAGCATAACCAAATACCAGCTGACTAAGATGTCACTTCTCACTTGTTTATGATTTGCAAAATTATTTTTTTTCTAAAAAGGAACAGAATCATTAAGCATCAGGGAATACAAAGTTCAATGTTCTCACTCAAAAGCACAAAGCTTCATTGTAGCCCACTTCAAAGCAGATATAAGCAGATGATCCAAATTTTTAACCATTTTAGTATGCATTTATGTATGTATTCCCAGTATTTTAGAAAATGCAAGATTGACTTCAAAATGTGAATACTTCAGAAACAACAAGATCACTTAAATCCCACCTCAGTGTGCTTAACTTTCCTGGTGTCCTTCATTAGAATGGAAACCAGCTCTTCTACATTAAGCACTGGAAGTCCATCTCTTCTAAAGATTAACAGTTTTGAGCAATTTTAAATTTACAATATTTCTTTAGATGGCCAGTGTTGTTCCAGTAGCTCCTGACAGTGCCATGGGACTATTGCTTAAAATCCAGGGCCAACTGAGACAATTTTTTTTAAATATTTTTTTTTTTCCAAATTTTTGTCCTAGACAAAAAGTAAACTCCCAAGTATGAATCTGGTGATTCAGTCAGGTATTCAAATCAAACACCTTTTTATACTTAGCAGATGCTACTATTTCAAAAACCACCTGAAGCTCTACAGGTGTTAGGCACGAGTCTGGTTTTCAAATGCAAGATGGGTCTGCTTAAGAGTGCAGGAGCAAAGGGGGAATAAGAGAGTTTAATTTTATTTATTATTTTTGGGGGCAGTTCTAGTAGTATTCATGTCACCTGAATGGCTTTGAGCAATACGCCGTGGTCATTCAACCTGACATCTACCCATATGGCATCAGTTTGAATCTTGTGAGGAGTAAACACAACCCTGTATATCAAAGGAAGGGGTGTATTTCTATTATGAAGGAATACATCAGAAAATTCAGAAAGCATGGAAATAGTATGTTTGCTGTAACTTTTAGAGGTAGGAGGGTGGAGACAGGCATGAGGATGAAACAAAATTGGAGAATTATGGAAACTCTTTAAAGGAGCAGAACTGAAAAAAACACGTAATGAAATATTAAGAAAAAAAATCAAATGAGAGGTTGAGCACTGTAAAAGGACACAGAGAGGCTGTGTAGTCTCTATCCTTGTAGGTACTCAAAACTCAACTGGACAAGGAAGGCCTGAACAACCTGAACTGAACATGAAATTAGCCCTGTTTTGAGCAGGAAGTTGGCCTAGGTGACCTCCAGAGCTTTCTTCCGGCACAGATTGTTCTAAGATTATATTAAACAAAGCAAAAAGGTTCCTGGAGAAAGTCGAGGAGACTGAAGTGAAGAGGAAGGGTAATTAGACATACTAAAAGATCAGAGATGTGGGGGGGGTGGAAACCAGGAAAAAATAGGCTACAAAGAATCAGAAGTGGAAGAAAGGAGAAGCAACTGGGAATAAATGATAAGATTTTTCAAGTTTAGAAGTTATAGACTGGTAAAACTCCAGTAAAGGCAGTGGAACTATGTCAGTTTACTGCAAATGTAGTCCTCAGTGATGTAATGTATTCTGACTTCACTAAATCTGCATTGACATTAAAGCTTTCTATTGAGCAGTTGATTTTAAAATGCCTCCTACATTAGTGAAATAAATCCATCTATTTACACTGTTTATTCTTTTCACATATCTCTTCCAGCAGATATGTTTGGAATGAAGTATGTTGTTCCAATTACTTTGCAAGTGAATGAAATACAAGGATATTCTGTGTGCACTGAAACCACTTGTCTTCCTAGGGGTTTCACTGGGATTGCATGGACAAGCTGAATTGCTATTATGTCATGATTATTCAAATATTTGTATTGTACATTTAACATCCTGCAATAGATTAAGCTCACCAGATGAAAGAGTAGGATTTGTAAAATGCACATTGGGTAATTAATTATTTTTTTTCCTTGGGTCCAGTACAACCTACCACAGATTAGCCATTAAATTATTTAACTTGTTTTTGCCTCCATTTTTTTTAAAGTGGTCTTTATCAGTGGTTTTGACTTAAAATCACGAAGTGGACAATGGTAGTAGTATAAAAGCCAGTGGTTCAGAAAAAGTAACATTTAAATAAGTGAAGTTGTTATTAAAAAGTAAGACTTACAAAGTAATTTTATTTGGAAAAGGAGACTATATTAAGTATATTTTTTACTTCCTTATACCTTGGCATTTTTCTGTTTTGTGGAATAGAATTGTAATCAGTTTTTCAGGATCTTTATTTACTATTTCTGTCAGGACATTAAACCTGTTGCACAAATCTGCCCAATTTGCAGTCACTTCTCTTATTCATCATCTTAGAATCATAGAGTCATGGAATGGTTAAGGTTGGAAGGGACCTTAAAGATCCTCAGGTTCCAACCTCCCTGCTATGAGCAGGGACACCTCACACTAGACCAGGCTGCACAAAGCCTCATCCAACCTGACCTTATACACCTCCAGGGATGGGGCTTCCACAACCTCTCTGGGCAACCTATTCTAGCACCTTACTACCCTCATGGTGAAGAACTTCTTCCTGATGTCTAACCTAAATCTCCCCTCTTTCAGTTTAAAACCACTACCCCTTGTCCTATCACTACCCTCTCTGGTGAAAAGCCCCTCCCCAGCTTTCCTGTAGCCCCTTCAGGTACTGGAAGGCTGCTGTAAGGTCTCCCCGGAGCCTTCTCTTCTCCAGACTGAACAGCCCCAATTCTCTCAGCCTGTCTTCATAGCAGAGGTGCTCCAGGCCTTTGATCATCTTGTCTGATGCTTATTCTGAGAAGATCCAGAGGTTATTTTTATGCCATATATATCTACACACTGTGGAGCCACCTGACCCCTTTCAGCAGGTTGTGAGTGGCATGAGTCCCCACTGATAAAGGCTAGTGTTGTAGCAGGTTGATCTTTCCCAGATGCTGATCCATGAAGTGAGCCTGGCTCCATGACTGTTCCACAGCCCTTCCCATCTGCTCCCTGTCAGGCCTCCTGCACAACTCCAGCTGCAGCTGGCAGCTGAAGCTGGGGCTCTTGGAGGGAGACGTCTAGCTGGATCACTGTTTGCAGGGAAACTGGTACTCTGTGTGTGGTAACAGCTGCATGTCCAGCCATTTCCACTGCAGGCAGCTTTGGCTTTTCTCATGAAACTCAGGGCCAGCAGCATCATGTCAAGATACTACCACAGACAGCCTTTCAGCAAGGATTCTGGGCATACTCCAAAAAAAACTTAAAGCCCACATCCATCTGATGCTGTTCTCCTTATCTCTCCTGCTCTCTGCTCTCTCCTCCTTAGCAATTCAGGGTGACCCTGTAGGTGAATACATGAACCCACAGAATTTAAAAGCAGTGAAGTAAATTAAATTGTATAGAAACCAGTAGAAAAAATATAGGCATTTTGGACCATGTTATAAATTGATTCAACAGCTTGATATAATAATCTTCTACATTCTTAGGCTGATTTAAAAAAATATGGGTTTTTTTTCTATAGGATGTATACGTTTACACTATAATAGTTTTTGAATAATGATGACTTACTCTAAGGTTAATGTCTGCACATTTACTCTTTTCTTAATTAAAGGTAACTGAAAGCTCATTACTTTTATATTATCCAACATGATGTTTTTGCTAAGTTTTATCCTGTGAAATGTAGGCTTACATAGAAACTGAAAATCACAGAATCACAGAATCCTAGGGGTTGGAAGGGACCTCGAAAGATCATCAAGTCTGACCCCCCTGCCACAGCAGGATCACCCAGAGCACATCACACAGGAACGCATCCAGGTGGGTTTTGAATGTCTCCAGCAAAGGAGACTCCACAACCTCCCTGGGCAGCCTGTTCCAGGGCTCTGTCACGCTCACAGTAAAAAAAAATATTCTGATATTCCTATTTTCACCCATTGCCCCTTGTTCTATCACTGGACATGACTGAAAAAAGCCTGGCTCCATCCTCCAGACACTTGCCCTTCACAGAGTTGTAAACATTGATGAGGTCACACCTCAGTCTCCTCCAAGCTAAAGAGACCCAGCTCCCTCAGCCTTTCCTCATAAGGGAGATGTTCCACTCCCTTCATCATCTTTGTGGCTCTGCACTGGACTCTTTCAAGCAGTTCTCTGTCCTTCTTGAACTGAGGGGCCCAGAACTGGACACAATACTCCAGATGCAGCCTCACCAATGCAGAATAGAGGGGGAGGAGAACCTCCCTTGACCTACTAACCACACCCTTTCTAACACACCCCAGGATGCCATTTGCTTTCTTGGCTACAAGGGCACATTGCTGGCTCATGGTCATCCTCCTGTCCACCAGGACCCCCAGGTCCCTTTCTCCTACACTGCTCTCCAGCAGGTCAGCCCCCAACCTGTACTGGCCCATGGGCTTCTTCTTCCCCAAATGCAAGACTTTACACTTGGCCTTGTTGAATTTCATCAAGTTTCTCCACACCCAACTCTCCAGCCTGTCCAGGTCTCACTGAATGGCAGCACAGCCTTCTGGTATGTCAGCCACTCCTCCCAGTTTAATGTCATCAGCAAACCTGCTGAGGGCACACTCTGTTCCCTCATCCAGGTCATTGATGAAAATATTGAACAGCACCGGTCCCAGTACCGACCCATGAGGGACTCCACTGGTCACAGACCTCCAACTAGATTTTGTCCCATTGACCACAACTCTCTGACTTCTTCCTTTCAACCAGTTCATGATCCACCTCACTATCTGATCATCAAGACCACACTTCCTCAAAGGTACCGTATACCATACCATTTTATTGAAACTTGCTTCCCTTAGTTTTTATTGAGATCCTGAATTATTTTCTATATGAATAATTTTACAGTATTGTCTATGAAATACTGTCACACTGGCAAAAAGTATTATTTGCAAATAGTTAAATATGTGGTAGGCAGTCATAACTACTAATTTAAGAAGCTTATGATTGATTCAGATTATTTCTGTTATAAGTGGGGACAGGTATTTTGATACCCTTACAAATTCCCTGGAAAGGAAAAGGAAGAGGCATGTATCAGCTACAAGGTATTACACCCAGTGTTGTGAAAACAGCATGGATGTACTGGGGCTCAGTGTCTCAGAACAGAAACTGGCAGACTGCTCTATGCTTTCTGCTAACCCTGGGACAGGAATCCCACTCTGAACTTCACCCTCACTTTGTGCTCCATCAGCACAGTGCACTTGTTGTATCAGCCAGGGGAATTTCAGCTTTCCAGGCAAGGCAAGTGTAGGTCACCACATGCTTTTAGAGAAGAGTGCATAAGAAAAAAATCCTCTAACCTGAGATGTACAAGTGGCCCCATGCAAATCATTTAGAAAAATAAGAATTACTGTACTGTGAAGACAAAGGCATGTGCATTCAACTCTGCCAAAAAAGCAAGCTTTTTTTTTCTAAGTCACAAGCACACTGCAGCTGTTACTTTGGCTCGAGAGAAAGTATTCCCTCCAGTAAAGAGACATAGGGCCCAATTCATCTCTTGTATCAACCCTGTTAGTTATGCCAAGGATCATTTAACTCACATAACACTCTCCTAGCTACCAGCCTTTTCCAGTGTCCTGCTCTGGGTAGTACCTAAAATTAGTCCACAAGGGAATATAAATTTAACATTCCAAGACACAAACAGCAGTCATAAAATGTGAGCATTGAATTGTTAATAGCAAGTGAAATGGCTCCTAATTGTGCTAACTCAAATCTGTTTACCCAGTGGTATCCCATGCCCTTTACAATGCTAGCTTTAGGAGGAATTAAACTCCTCAAAACCATAAATTTTTATTTAAGTGTATGTCTATACAAGAAAAATGCACAAAGACTAGAAGGGTCCAGAAGCATCCAAACCTCATTCACTGTGCTAGGTGTGGCTCTATAGAAAGATAAAAAAAGATTGTCTAGACCACAACACTAGCATCATGACACATCCTCATTTCACAGTGTTTTGTTTCAGA